TCATAACCAAATTTCTTATTCGACAGCATATAAAGCGTTCTAGTTAACATCTTTATTATACAAGGTCTGGTCCACATGGTTTTACTTTATTGATTATGAACCATTTTATCTTTCAAATTTTAAGGATTTAACATATAATCTTATAGAGTTCCAGTCGACACGTCCACGTGCATCGTATGCTCATACTGACGTTGAATATAGTATACTAGAAAGCAAATCTAGTTTTAAACTGAGTAAATTAATCCTTCAATTAGAGCTAAAAACAGAAGAGAAGTGAAGGAAGAAAAAGAGAGTTTTTATGGGATAAAAATGTCTTACTTAATTTACAAGAAGGCAACAGAAACAAGAAAAACTATCATTATATACTTGTAATCATAAACTATAAATTTTAAGTTAAAATTAATTTTGTTTAATTAGTACAAAATTTTAATTAAACTTTTTTTTCCTTTTCATTAAAAAATATTAAACTAAACATAAAAAATTCATTGTAAAAAACTCTTTCATCCATTTTTCTTTAATTTAAAAATATGTTAGTATGTATAAAATTAGTTTACTCATCATTGAGAAATAACTTGGTTTTCATTCTTTAGGTTCTGCTTCTTCTTTTTTCGTTCACTTTGTGTTAGCTGATGAAATCAGCTAAATAGTATTCATTTGAGTCAATTGACTATAAGCGACTTTAACAATCGAATCAGCTACCTAGTATTCATTAGAAATTCGATATATTTGATGAGAGTACGAATCTCTCAATTTCTTTTAACCAACAATAGATATAATAATCAGTAGAGATTAAATAAATTACTATTTCATGCCTGTATTTTTTTAAAAATATTCATACTTAAATCTATATGCCCACAGTTAACAATTTTAGTACTAATATCATTACTTGTTGGGTACTTATTATATTCTTGGATCTAGACTCATTACTTATATTTTAATTAACTTGGATATTTTCTTAGAACGTGTTTGATTGATAAACTAATAAATATAAATATGATTATAATATTAATATTAGTGATATAAAAATAAAAATAAAGTAATGATTAAAAAGCAAAGTACGTACATAGCTTAATTAAAAAAATTAATTTAATTCCTAATTATAAAATTGTATACTTAGAATGGTTTAAAGTAACTATAAGTTATATTTAAAATATTTTCAAATTTTAATTACTAAATATAATAAATATATTGTATAGGTGTGATACGATTGGATACTATAGTATCAATATATAAAATTTTATGACTAGTTGCAGAGTTTCAGAATCAGATATATTTGATGGGTTAATATATACCCTGCAAATTATAAATAATTATTATAAATATCTAATAAGTTTGAGTCTGATGATTGGTACCCCCAATCAAAACAAACCTCGCAATAATTAGTTTTATGATCCAACTCATAACGGGTCAACCATTTCAAAGCCCTATAATAATTTTTCATAATCGATATATTGCTTCATAATTCAACTAACAATTAATCTAAACAACTAGTTAATATGAATACATAATATGTATAAAATGATATTCTTATTTGGTAGGATTCGAGGTTTGAGGTTAAGAGAAGACCCTTCTTTTTTGTCAAGTTCTCGTGCCCTGATGAATCCGCTGCATGCATGCTTTTGATCATTAGCAGTGGCAATAGTACCATTTGCATCATAGTCCTGGAGATTATGAGTTTTCTCCATCTTGGGTGTTTCATTCCGAAGCTTTTCTTATTGTTCCAAAATAGCTTCTCTCGTTTTAGAAACCCATTCAATTTATCCTTAATTAGCGGTGAACAGCTACGTTCTTTATGACCAAATTTACCGCAATATTTAGTATAATACAAGTAACTAAAATTAATTATGTTTGTAGAATACTCCTTAACAGTAAGTTAATTAATTTATTCTTATTTTACATATCTCTTTTTAATGAAACTAAATTTCCAAAGCAATGATGACTGGCTAAAACCATCACTCCATCAGCAGCTGAATGCTTTACAGCAACGAAGCCTCGCGCTTCATGGCTCCTGAGAAGTATAAATGGATTAGTGGAATAATTACTTTTTAACAACAGAATAAATTTCTAATAGCTTGTTTTATATTATTTTATTATTTTTCACTTGTTTTATAATTTATTATAAACACAAATCATATTTTCTTAAAAAGAGATAAAATATTATATATATGTGTTTTTTTCAGGTAAGGTTTTGGATTCAAACTTTACTTATGAAAAAAGAACGTTAAAATAGTTAACTCTATAATCTTCTCCATTATTTTAGAAGAGTTTAGAAGAGCCAATTAATCTCGTATTATATAAACGTTCTCAATTAGTTAGAACAGAGCTGTATGTTTAATATCAATTATTTTGAAATTTTGTTAACTTTCTTAAAGAGATTTTTTGGAGAAAATAAATGAGTATTTCTCTTTATTATACTCAATTAAATAATTTATCTTTTTTTAAAAATATATTAATAGGATTAAAAAAATATATTGTGGTTCAAAGAAAGATTGGATCTAAGAATTGGGCTAAAGCGCATTGCTTTTGGATATATAGGCTTAGATTGTTAAAGCCTCGCTGAAACATACATATTAGACACCCCAAGCCTTCTTACACCAAAAACAATTGATCTCTTAGACCAAAAAATAAAATAAAAAAATTCAGATTCTCAAATAGTTTCAAAAACACAGTTTTATTAACATCCATGTTTACAACTTTTTTTTATCAGAAATCTAATTTCTTATACCTTTTTTCATATTTTATGTAATAGATGTTTATTTTTTAATAATTTTTTACTATTTGTATATGCTTAAGACTAATGTTCATTTTTTCTTGAAATCATTATAAAATTTTCAACCTCTTATGCATATAAATTTTTTAACTATTAAATAAAGAAATTGTTAATTTTTTATATTTTCAAGATTTATGCACTTTTTATTTAATACTTGTTTTGTAAAATAATAAATAGATTGTTATGAGAATGTGTAAGAAAATATTGCAAAACTCGTATTAAACTTATATAACCAGCGCTTATTCATCATAGCAGAATGAAATCAATTCATTGTTGCTATTAGGAGTGTTTGAGGAACTTGATTCCTTTTACCCAGTTTTAAAATTTGATTGGGTCAATTTTTAGATTTAAATTCATCTTTAAATATGAGAAAATTTTATGAATAAAAACTCGGTCCATATAAGAGATTATTGTACTAAATTGTGACATTCCATAAATAAAACAACGACATATATAGGTATTATTAGTTGATTCACTTAAATATTGAAATATTCAAAAATATTTTTTATTTCTTAAAATATTAAAAGTTCTATTGTTTTTAAAGATTTATAATTTAGTCTTCATTTTTTTATTTCATATAGTCATGTATTATTATTTCTATATTTAGTCTATTAAGTATCTTCGTATCTCTTAAAAATTAGAGATTAAATGAGAAATGTATAATGTTCAAATAGATTAAATGAAAAAATGTAATTCTTATCATGATTAAATAATAAAAAATTTGAAATTTAAAGGGATTAAGCTTTATTTAAAAAATTTATCAATAAATGCTTATAAAATAAATAAATAATTATTTTTAAGATAAAATTCACATACCTTAACTTTTGATTCTTGAAGATGTTGGATAAAAAAAACTTGTATGATTTTTTTATTTTTTTGCTGATAAAAACTTCTATGCTTTTTATAAGCTAATTTTAATTTATGAAATAAATTTAATATATCATATCTTTTTTTATAAATTTGTCTGATTAAATTAATCTAAATTGAGCCTCAAATGAATAAACAGTAGTGTCAATTCACAACCAAAATAGATCACACAAAAGAAAATTTTAATGAGAACTGTAACGCAACTTGAAGGGGATGCTTATGGAGTTGGTTTCTTTGAGATGATTGTGCTGTTAACCTTATTTAAATCAAATATGTATGGTATTTAAAAAATTAAAAAATTAATCAAATCTCTATGATATTTAAAAAATTTGAAAAACAAATTAAAAGCAAAAAATGATAGATCAATGAAATATCTATGATATTTAAAAAGTTAAAATTTATTTAAATAAAATTCAAAATATAGCTAAATAACTAAGTTTTAACATAAAAAATGAAAAATAAAATAAAATAAAAGTCTATCACTGTAAGAAAAGTATGGTATTAATTTCATATTGGGGTGAAGTCGAATTCAACGTGATATATCTTCATGCTGATTCACACCTCTAACTTTTGCAAATTAGGAAAATTTGATCCTAGTCTTAAATCTGGTCAAAATAGGTTTCATTCGTCAAAGTCAGAGTTGGATGACATGCAATGTATAGTACGTTAGATTTAGTTCTATTTTTATTTAATAAATAATATATATTGAATATAAATTTATTATAAAATTAAATCAAATCAAGATGTTGTCAGTTTAAATTTAATTTTTCTTTATATTTTATTCCTTTGGTATTTTAAAAAGTCTTTTTATATGAATTTTAATTTAGATCAAGGAGTGATTTAATAAGGTTATAATTGAAGCAGGTTTATTGGGGAAAAAATGCAGAAAAAAATATTAATTAAGATAGATTTACCGATAAAAAAAATATTAAAAGAAAAGTGTAAAAATCTAAAGTAAATATCAATACAAAGTAATGATAAGATTTTGAAAAATAGGAATTAGAAATCAAATCAATACAAAATTTTCAATTTTTGGGTTTATTTATTAAATTAATTTAGTTCTGAACATTCTTAGTGAATGAATCATTTGTTATTCTCTACTTGCAAGTTGCAAGTTGCAAGTTGCAAATTGCAATAATATTTGAGTGTTTCTGACTCTGAGTGAGGGTTTTGAGGGGTGGGAATGGAATTGGAAGAGGGTAAATCTGCTCCGGATTGGCCCTGTTGGCATCCTAATCAGCATACGCACGCTATAAAAATTGATGTATAAAATAATATTTTGAAGAGAAAAAAAAGTGAAATTAAATGGTGCATATGAAGCATGGATATAGTAATAAGGGCGAGAAATGTAGAAACTAACAAGAGACTTGAATTGGGATATATAACCCTCTCAGGGCAGCCCCTAGAAATGGACAGACATAAAAGAAGAAGGGTTTGGGTATGGATCTCATAATCTAAGATTTTCTATTATAGCAAAATAGAGGGATATCATATCATAATATCATATGCTATGCGAATGGGTATGGAGGAGGAGAGTAGCATTACCATTAGCAATACCAACATAGAAGGTGGTGCTTCGTTACCATCATCAGGTTCAGATGCTAAGAAGCGAACTGTCACATACTTCTACGAACCCACCATCGGCGACTATTACTACGGCCAAGGCCACCCCATGAAACCGCACCGCATCCGCATGGCCCACAACCTCATCGTTCACTACTCCCTCCACCGCCGCATGGAGATTAGCCGCCCCTTCCCCGCCTCTCCCGACGACATTCGCCGCTTCCACTCCGACGAATACGTCGAATTCCTCTCCTCCGTCTCCCCCGAGACCCTCGCCGAAACCACCTTCTCCCGCCAGCTCAAGCGCTTCAACGTCGGCGAGGACTGCCCCGTCTTCGACGGCCTCTTCAATTTCTGCCAGGCCTCCGCCGGTGGCTCCATCGGCGCCGCCGTCAAACTCAACCGCGCCGACGCCGACATCGCCATCAATTGGGCCGGCGGCCTGCACCATGCTAAGAAATCCGAGGCTTCTGGGTTCTGTTACGTCAACGACATTGTCCTCGGTATCCTTGAGCTGCTCAAGGTTCACAGGGTAACTCTTTTCTTTGCCTCTTCTTACCTTATTTTCATTACTCCATTTTTTTCTCTCTCTCTCTCTCTCTCTGTGTGTTGGATTTAGTTGTTGTACGTTCTACAACATGTACCATGTACAACCTAGGCTAAAACTGTTTGGAGTACCGTTGTTATGTGAGAATGACATTTTGTTTTGTGCCTTCGTTATGTTGGAATGGGGATTTCTGTGTTTGGCACCAAAGAAAGGAATAGATAGATGCTTCAAACGACAATTCCATTCCGTGTCCCATTAATATTAACCTTTTCCTTCCATTTTTGTGTTTTCTTGTATAGATTCATTTATAGCGTGTTTCTTTTTCAATTCTTTGCAGCTGCTGGTGGCCAAAATAGCGTTTATTTGATTTCATATGCCAATGAGAACAAACTGGAATTGAATAAAATTTCACTTCGTTATTGACAAACACTAGAATAGGAATGGCCACTCCATGGCCATTTTCCATTCTGAATCCTGATTTTGATTACCTTGCTACCATGCCAAGTGCCAGCATTGCTTAGTAAAATGATTCTGATGACATAATTAATTGTTAAGTTGTAATTTCATGCTTATTAGGGTTAAGACTGGATTGCTCCTTTCTAGTTCTCGTTTTTTTATTTCAAGGTCCTCAATGGTGCACCTTTGTGTTTTCAATTTTACATAGTTCTTCTGTGGGTAAAAATCGAAATTATGTTTGTGCTTATACAGAAACTTTATTGCTTGTAATATGAGTTATTGTTTTTGTGTTTATGGCGCGTGCTTTCTTCCTTTCATGAATATATTTTTCATTATCTGTTCGGTGTTACTTGGCAGCGTGTACTGTATGTTGACATTGATGTGCACCATGGTGATGGTGTTGAGGAGGCCTTTTACACTACTGATAGAGTGATGACTGTGTCTTTCCATAAGTTTGGGGACTTTTTCCCAGGCACTGGACACATAAAAGACATTGGGGTGGGCTCAGGAAAGAATTATGCTGTAAATGTTCCATTAAATGACGGAATGGATGATGATAATTTCCGTTGTCTGTTTCGTACCATCATTCAAAAAGTCATGGAGGTTTATCAACCTGAAGCAGTTGTTCTTCAATGTGGAGCTGATTCATTGTCTGGTGACAGGTTGGGGTGCTTCAACTTGTCTGTGAGAGGTCATGCAGATTGCCTTCGTTTCCTTAGATCTTTCAATGTTCCTTTGATGGTCTTGGGTGGAGGAGGATATACAATTCGGAATGTTGCTCGTTGTTGGTGTTACGAGGTCCTTTTCATTATCTTCTTGGGCTGATTATAATGTGACTTATATCAGTTTAATTTCTTATTTGGTTCCATGCTTTTTATTTGTTTTAGACAGCTGTGGCAGTAGGAGTGGAGCCTGATAATAAGTTGCCTTATAATGAATATTATGAGTATTTTGGCCCAGATTATACTCTCTATGTTGATCCAAGCAACATGGAGAACCTAAACACACCCAAGGATATGGAAAAAATAAGGTATTTTTACTAATAATTTCATCTTGGTTGAGTTAAAGTTGATGATTCTTATTTCAATTTTATTTCTCATGAAAAAAAATAACAGTCATAAATTGTTAAGAATGTAATTACTTAAATGCATTACATTTAGATTCATCCTTGTCATGTGACATCCTTTCTACAAATGATGATGTTTTCAGAAACTTATGAACAGTTGCATTTATACCTGGCATTGTTATTTTTGTATTGGTTGTAAGACATCGTAATGTCTGGACATAAAATATTTAGTGAGGTCACCATGGAAGATGTGCCTCTGTATGTGGCGGAAGCCAGGACTGATTTAAGCTTCCTTTGTCTCGAGTAAAATATTTGGAGATAATTTCTACCATTAAATTGATTTTTTTTATCCATTAATTCCAAGGAACACACTACTAGAACAGATTTCCCGACTTCCCCATGCTCCCAGTGCACCTTTTCAGACAACACCACCTATCTTACAAGGTCCAGAAGAGGTCTGTACTCTAACTGTTGCAGTAGTTGTCCCTTTGCCATTCTCTTCTCTCTGTTTGATCTTATTGTGTATTCAGGCAGAAGAGGATATGGATAAAAGACCAAAACGTCGCAAATGGAATGGTGAAGATTATGATTCTGATCCCGATGAAGATGAAAAGGTTAATTCCAAGTGCTCAAACTTCACTGCTCATATGAGGTAATGATTATATTTTGTTTTTGAAGCTGAATATAATTCCATGTAGTTTACACAAGTCCCTCTTTTTTTCAGTCGATAAATTGTGGGTTTGTCCCTGAAATCGAAACCTTTGTGACTTAAGCTAGCTTGATAAATATTCTAAAGTCGGTTAGAGTGGAAGTTTTGATTAGATTATGTAACTTACTATACTCATTATACTTCTATTATACAAACTTCTTAGCCGATTCAAATGAATTTATTAACTGTTTGGCTCCAATTTTGAAAGCAGAAATGTTACTCTCTGTGGTGCATGGATATTGCAGATGACATGGAAGAAGAGAAGCCAGAAGTGCATCCATCATCTTGCTGCTGATAGAATAGAGCAAGTTCTTGCACAGCATGTTTGTATTGTAATATCTTCCGTTGATGGGGGAGGTCATTACTTCGAGTTATATAAATAGTACATGAGCAACTCTAATGCCAATATAATGATCAAATTGTGCAAATGTATTATAGATTAAAACAATGTCTTGGTTCGGATCCCCATGTAAGCATTATTTTTGCTCGTTAGAGTCAGTTTTTTCCCCTTTTTGTCCCTGTGGCCTTGTCCCTCGTGAATACACTTAGTTTCGATTTAGTCTCACAGTCAATTTCGTTTATTTTGATCATTCACTTTTGTCCACACTTCATTTGGCCCAGTGGAGACATTTTGGTTATTGGTAATTGTTATCACTCTTTTTTTGTCGTGTCTTTCTTTCACCTGTATGATGATGATTTAAAGGAAATGAGAAAGATGCAGAATCGTTGTTCTTCTTGTTATTTGTGACAAATTCTTATTTATAATCCAAATATTTTAATTAAATTCTAAGTTGCCAATTATCTTATCCATTCAAGTGGAAGAATGTAGGATGAAGATGAAATTGAGTACCTCTCAATGTTCGAAACTATAAAAAGTTAACTCAGAGATACCACAATCATGTTGCCAAGGGAGGGATTGTATTGGTTATCATGCTGCACTTTCTACTTCTCTTCTCTCCTTTGTCTTTTTGTTTTGTGGATGTCCCAAAAAGAACAAGATATGCATTTTCGAACTCCAACAGGTACAACTAATGATAATTAAGGTATGTCATTTATTTATTTTTTTAGTCGTAGAAGAAAGTATTTTTAATGGTTGATATTGTCTGATCTCATTTTTAATTGAACTTTTTAACGTAAAAAAAAGAAAGAAAGAAAGATGAAGTAAGAATCTATCTACTCTTAATTTAGTGTAAGTTATGCTTACAAAATGTTTTAGTTCAAATTAATAATCAATATATATTCACCTTTTTATTTTATATATCTCTTTATTTTAGATGTGTTATATTCTTATTTTGCAACATTTTAGATTCTCGATGTTGTGTGTAGTTTAGGTTTAAGAGCAGTAAAAATACGAGTTAAATTTTAATAATAACTGATAAAAATGATTTTAAATATAAATTAAAAACAATAATTATAAAAATTAACTATGTTTTAATTATGTAGTAATCCATGATTCAACTTCAGCGTGAAAAAATAATTTATCAATGTATTTTTCTTAAGTTATTAAACTATTTAACTTTTATAATTAATAAAATTGACTACTGAGACCCGCAATTTTTAAAACACAGAGATATAAACGCGAAGGTTTGAAGAAGTGTTTAATTTTATTATTAGAACAACATTAATTCTTTCAAATATACTAAAAAAATTATTTTTCCTTGGATATATGACTATTAATTCTCTCCTTTTTTATGCAATTCTCGGTAGGATAAATTTGTTTTCAACTGGATAAACACAGTTGGATAAAATGTATATATACCCCCTTGAGAGTGACGTTAAAAAAGAGCATATTGACATGTTCATTCATACTGGAGAGTGAAACCGAAAGTCGATGTTCAAACACAAACGTACGATTCAGATTTGACCTGAGACATTCTGAATTTTGGCTCAATAGCCGAGCTCTTTTAGAAAATAATATATTTATATTACTGAAATTGAAAAATAAAAATAAAATAAAAAAATTGATAACTATAAATGTGTAACGGAAAGATCCAAGAGGAGAACATGGCTTCCCAAATTTCAGTTTTAGTATCCTTGGGAAGGATGTGGACGATGGTTTCTTCCCCAAAAACAGAGACACAAACACAAACGTTATTTGGCAATTCAATTACAACATCAAGGCATCACGGGCAACTCCAACGCACCCGAAAAAGAAGCAAAATATCCTTATCTCTGAAAACCCCTGCAGCTTCATTAGCACCGAAATGCCACAAAACAACTCCATCCTCCTCTGTCCAATCAAAAAATGCCCAAGAAGAGGGAATTCCCGGAGAAGACGTGAAAATCCTGGTCAAGTTCAAGTCGCGCCACAACTACATCCGCGTTCTAGAAGTTTCTAGAGAAGCCGAGCACCCCTTGCGCGGTTCCAGGTTGCTTCTTCTGGACGCCCCCGGAAACATCCACAGCATATCATTCCTCTTCAAAACGTTAACCAACACCTACTTCGATGTCTTCGCCACCCTCCCACCCATAGTGCCACCTGGACCCCTCGCCATCCTCGGCTTCGGCGCCGGCTCCGCGGCTCGCATTCTCCTCCACCTCTACCCCGATGCCATTCTCCACGCCTGGGAGCTCGACCCCTCCGTCATCCAAGTCGCCAGAGAGTACTTCAACCTTGCCACACTCGAGAGGGAACACCAGAAGCGCCTTTTCATCTACGTCGGCAACGCTTTGAACGCCACTTTGCCCAACGGCTTCTCCGGGATTGTCGTCGACTTGTTCTCCAAAGGGAGCTTGATTCCGGAGCTTCAGGAGCCTGCCACGTGGGAGAAGCTGAGGCAGCGTTTGAAGAGAGGAGGGAGGATTATGGTGAATGTTGGAGGGAGCTGTGTGGAAGCCGAGAGTAGGCTCAGAGATGGTAAGTTTCTTATGCAAGAAACTCTCAAGGCCATGAGAGCCGTTTTCGGAGAGAGGCTTTTTGTTCTCAATGTTGGCAATCGCAAGGACGATAGCTCTCTTGCTCTTACTGGGGATTTGCCCCAACATGATGCATGGAAGAAGGCCCTTCCTGCTCCCTTGAAATGCTATGTCGATATGTGGAAGCCTTACTCTGCTTAGTCACCCCTTTTTGCTCATCAATTGTTTGTGTTTATTCCTCCGTGAAATATTTTCTTTTGCTCCTTCACTTTTTCAATACCCGCAAGCAAGGTAATTGATTAATCCCATTTTTGCATGCTTAAACCATTCACCAATTAAACATGCAGTTATAGGCTTGTTAAGTGTTTTTATCAGTTGAGTGGTAAGGTTAGGTTTGCTAAAGTAGAATCAGTTTGAGCCATGGACGATCTATTCATTATGTGCAGATTCAAGTAAAAATCCAAGTATTAAATAAAATGTCGAGCAGGACGATCTGGTTGTGCAATTAGCTGTGTTGGCATCATTGGAGGAGAGATGCGTAGAAATGATATAAAATGTATGCGGATAACATTACTCAAACGTAGAATACACAGTCATTTTGCTTTCTGTTTTTAGGATTATTCAGTCACTGGTCATTGATGTTTAATACAATCAGGATTTTTTTACAGACATCAAATATCAAATTGGTTAAAATGCCCTTGTAATTGAAGCAGTTCACAAGTATACACAGTTCAGAAAGAGTTCGAGTTCCATCTAGAATCAGTCATTTAGTGGATAGGTTTGAAATTAGGTTCTCAACAGGATAAATGAATCCCCTTTTTCTTTTAGATTAAGGTGATTGCAACAATGATATTTATATATTGCCTAATGTTTTTTTTCTTTATTTCACATCAATTTTGTCTATCTTTCGTTTATCATCATTCATAATTTATTAGTTCTTTTGTTTCTTTCTCTTCTATTTTTATCTTTTGCTAAGTGTAAAATGTGAAAGTCCATGCCACCACCGTAGAGAAAAAGAAGAAAATAAATAAAGTGCAAGTAATTTTTTGAAATAAAGAGACTCTAGTTTGGACATTGCAACCACCATTTTGCATTTTCCAAAGTGTGGGAATGGAGTTCTTACGAAGGCCTTTATACATTTATCTATCAAACCACGTAAGCTAGAATAAAAGCTATGAAGTTTTACTAACATATGTGATAGCTTTAAAGTGACAAATAAATGTGGTTGATTACAAATAAAAATGTTATATTTGTTTAACAGATACATGCATAAAGAAAAATAAATAAATAACTGCTAGTTTGAATAATTGACAGATATGAGAAACAAGCTAAAGCTAAATTCATCGTCATATTTACTCAATTGTATATTAATTCGTAAGTCAACTCGTATCCTTTCGTCGTCAATGAATTATGAAATAGCCAATTTTAAATTAGTAAAACGCTAAAAGCCCTATTACAGCACACGCACAATTCAATTTTGTTTTCAGTACAAGCATCCATTAATTCACAAGGTGGCAGTCGTACAGAATCTTAAAACCCAGCTCTCCAGAGTTTTCTGAGTCAAGGATTTTACATTTTACAGGCCCAACATAAAAATAAAAGCACAAGTTTGATACAATGGGTGTACTTCAGTTTCAGACAAAGTCCATGCTGCACTACCAGGAATAGATTTAATTGATTACTAAACTAAGAAAAATATTATTTTTATATTCCTCTGTTATGTTATGTAAATAATAATTAATATTTTAATATTTATTATTTCAAAAACATTTCAAAATATATTTCTCTTATTAATTAAAATGTTTATCAATTATCTTAGTGTTCGATGTATATAATTATTAATTATATTAGTTTCTATATACAACGTTTTAACATACACGTTAACATGTTAAGTACTAATTATATATGCTACGTAACATTTAATAGTAATATGATAAAATGACATAATTTAAAGTTTTTTTTCTTAAAATCTATTAATTTAATTTTCATACAATTAGACTTAAAATTTTACACGAATTAAATTAATTAATCAGAGATTTTTTATGTCATCATTAAATTTATGCATCATGTTTAGTTAGTACTTAATATGATAGATCAATTTGTCTTTTAAAGCAACTAATATCTAAATAATAATAAAAACTAAAATGTTTGACAATACAATATATTGAGGTTTTAAATAATGATTGATGATTACATATATAAAAGATTAAATTATATTTTATTTAGTTTATAAACGCTATTTTGAAAACAATTTAAAATGATAAAAATTAAAATAATTGATAATTGTATTTATAAATTATTAAAATGATGTTTTGCAATGATAAGCAACGACATTTGACGACGATTGTGAGTGATGTTGTGCTGCATGGCCAGGCCCTGGAAAAACATAAGCAATAGCATTTGACAGCAGATGAACAGCGTGGAGAGAGATCAATGCTGGAAAAGGAGGAGCTACATCACCACCACCTGCTCCCATGCGAAATCGACAGATAATAATGGTCAAAGCATCCACTCCTCCTTCGAGTATTCACTGTTCTCACTCATTTGCCTTTCTTTAATCAACAGAATCTTCCATCCACACACATAATATGATACATCCAATCAACAGGTCATATGAGACCACTAGTTGAAATAGTAATCCCAAACCACTGCTACAACTATTTTTTCTTAATCTTATACTTCTGTCTTGTATCTTTCTTCTCTGCATGTTATTGTATTGCGAAAAAGAGTAGAAATATATATATATATATATATATATATATATTCTAATTTTATATATAAAAACTGAATTAGGTGAATAAAATTTATCCATGGTTGCACACTGTATTCTATTTTCTTTACAGTGAGCGTGTTATAACTTACTTTTATTTACTTCAGTATTTGTTTAGATTAGCCTTTAAGAAAATTATTGAATCAATTTTGTTATTTAAATAATTAAAAATTGATATTATATATTGCCATTATTTATTTTGTATATATATCTTTAAAATACACTTAGAAAGTGAAGAAGATAACTAAAAATATTTTCCCAAAATTATAGAAAAACTGTTTTCCAAATTAACCTTAAATGGTAATTATTATTATTATTATCTTCTAATATTTTTAAAAAGTGAATTAATCATTAAATTGGTGAAATTAAAGAAATAGTTTATAGAGTTGATTTAAACATAATATAACAATGTCCAGAATTTGATCCAACAAGATTCAATGCTTTTCATTTCAATATTTCATGTAGACAGATGATAAAATCAAGTTCTAAAAGGTGCCCACTTATGGACGAATGTCATGATCGCACCATATTGGGCCGTGTGTAAAATAAAACAGTACGAGCTAAATATCATGTTTAGGCGTTATGTCTAAGTATCATTTTTCAAGTTGACCAATTATCTATACTTATCTTTGATGCGAAGATAGCTTAAGACATAAAATAACTAATGTTGTGTTAGGAATTTAAATAAACGCTAAAAAGGCCCAAATAAAGTTTTTTGAAAAACATTAAGGGTTCGATTTCACTAAATTATAAATTCACTCTCCATAGACAAAGCACTCTATGGGGTACCAGTAACTTTATTATCCTGATTTCAATTTTCTAGTCGACTGCCAAATCTCTTAAATTAATCATAATTTAAATTTCTTTGATGAAACAACATTTTCTAAACTCTATTAATAAGCCTGATTCTTTAAGTGAAATTAACAAAGTAAGTTTATGAAGCTGAGTAAAATTTAGCAAAAGAAATGATGGGACGCTCTCAAATATGTATTTTTTAACATAAAATTTATTAAAATGCAAAAAAAATAAAATAAAAAATTTATACTTATTATATTTTTTTAATTAAATTTTAACTAAGAAACAAAATTATGTTAGAAAAATACATTACTAACACTTCTCTTTCAACGATTAACGTAGAAACAAAGCTATTTATGATCTCTAAATTAAAAAATTATTGTAAAACAATGAGGTTGAAATAGTAGTATTCAGTTTAACAATAGTACTTGTAGGGATGAATACAGAGTACACAGGACAGGGGACAAGCTTCAGCATGTTGGAGATCACAGGATATCTCTCCGGCCTCCGCTGCAGCCCCCACCAACTCACCCCCTCTCCTTCCACAAGAAGACCACTTTTCCTTGTTTCTTCATTCTTCTCCTCCAACCATCCTCTGCATTGTTGTCCTTTTCTCTTTAAATATTTTTCTACTTTGCCTTTCCCTCCTTTCCATCTTTCTTTGATTCAATTTATATATATATATATATATAATTTTTTTTTAGTTCATGCTGATATTTTCTGCTTTTCAGATCAAATTATGAGCCATTAGATGTGCCCTGCTGTTATACCCTATTTTCTGGATTCCTGTCTTGTGAAAAAAGAGAGAGTGGTGGGTGAGTTTGTTTGTTTCAATTTGTATTTTTTTGCATATCTTTGTCTTGTTCTGCGGCTTAAGTCTCAATTTCATATCATTATTTAATATATATCACCTGTGCTAATTTAATTATTTATTTATTTAGATGCATTCTTTTTATAACTATTTTCTTTTATTGTAAGTTTTGCTTTTTTATTAATATTATTATTTTGCATTTTAATAAACAATATCATCATTATTATCTTCACATTTTTCCTTCTAAATGTCAGGTGTAAGTTCCTCAAAACATAATCAAACGACTGAGTGAGAAGGTTCTTATTCAAAAATAAGATCTTTATTTTATCAATACATATCCACATCTGAATAGTATAGTCGTTTACGTTATTAGTAGAATTAATTGATAAGCATTATGCAGTCCTGTTCAGCTATTCTTTAATAGCTCTTACACATGATAAGATCGTCAAAGTTTTACTATGGTATCCCACAAACCTGTCGTGTCTTTTAGCTATTCTGCTGGCCTCGCGTGTCCTGTATTGCAAAATTCCTTGAATCAGGTAGTCGTGCTCTATTTTCAAGCTACAGAGATTCTGCTGGCCAGGTTAGCTTTTAATCAATTTACTTTATCTTTTATAGTTTTTACCAGTCATGGTTACGAATTACAATTTTATCAGCTAGGAGAAATAAGTGTTGTTATCCCATTTAAGTGTGTAGCAGATTATGTTCGTACTCCTGAGCTTTGTAACCATAAATATGAAATCTTGATTCATATATAGTTATATACTTGGCCTGCATCGTATTATTGTTTGTTACTACTTGAGTCCTAGCTCTTGAAGAAATTCGCTACAGGTGAACCCATTCATTTCTCCATCCATTTTTGTTTGTTTTTTAATTAGAGGTTTGTCTTCGATTCATCAATGCGTTGTTTTGTTGATTACATTGGAGAGTTATTGATGAATTGAGAGGAAATCTAACGCTGCACTGAGTAGTTCTGCAACATAAGCAAGGATTCTTGCTTTCTTTTGTGCACTTCTCTGATTCAATTTGTTATAAATCCCACGTTAAGTGAGTAAGAAATCTATTGCATATTTAAGTCTTTTCTAATAGATTGACTTTTTCAGTTATGGTCACTTGTCTTATTAAGTATTAGTGTGAGTGAGTGTAAAATTGATTTTATAAAATTAATTTTGTTTAAAAGTGACATGATATATATTTAGAATATTTTTTTTAATTCAACACACAAATTATAATTTATCACGTTGATTTAAATTTTAAAAATAATTAACTTAAAAGTAACTAAACATTGTTTTAAGATGCATCCGAATAAGAACA